TTGCTTGTTCAGATGATTTTAAATCAGTTAAATTATAAGGCATTATAAAACTATATTGAATTTAAACCTATCGGTAACTTACCAAATATAAGAATGACTTGTAACTGAAATGGCTATGTACTAATCCGTTATCCATTTTAAAATTTGAAAATTGATGTGTATTGTTACGAAAAATTTATACAAATTTTTCTTACCTTGCATTTCCACTATATAATTTCTCAATCTTCCTATGTAAAAGTAGTAAATCATGTACGTAGTTCCGATAGTAACAGCACGTGTACGGGTTCGAAACCCGGGGTTAGGGTTGAAAACCCGGGATCTGGGTTCGAAAACCCAGATCCGGGTTCGAAACCCCAGATCCGGGTTTGAAACTCTTGAACAACGAAATGTATAAATAGAGCGCATGTTTAGTAAATAAAGCAACTCTTTCTTACTCTGCTCAAGTAATAAGTATAGTGGATACGTGACCTAACTCTTTCTTATTTGGCCCGATAATAAATATATAATAAGCTCCAATCTTGATAAGTAACCTAACCGCAACCCATAACGACCTAACCTGGACTATAAGTGACCTAACCGCAACCCATAACGACCTATCCTGGACCATAAATAGCCTAACCGCAACCCATAACGACCTGACTTGGACCCTAGGCAACCTAAACGTAACCCGTGGCAACTACTTAACAAATATAGCTTAATTGAGGCGACGATATAATCTAAGTATAGCGCTGCACGCAGGATTGGCAATGAACTATGTCCATTGAAAATAAGTTTGTCAATGGAACTCAATGGACCAATATCATAATCCATTGGTCCATTGGTCCATTAGTCCATTAGCATAAGCCAAAATAAGGTCAATACCAAAAAAAACTCAAATATCACGTGGTATAATATTCTAAACTCATTTATAAAAGCTATATAATTATTTTACCTACTTGTCCATTGGTCCATTGGAATAGTGACCGTCCAATGGAACCAATGGAACTGGTCAATGGACCTGGGGTCCATTCATACCAATGGACAAATGTGCCAACCCTGGCTGCACGCCCCCTGCGATATTTACCCTGTACGATAACTATTTCTATATACGGACCCGGCCTGTGCAACCCTATAAGAAAAGTGGACCGGGTGTTGGTACGGGTTGGCTCGAGGATGTCTGGATAGGCACGTGTCATGTGGCACGTAAAGGCATGAAACACGAACCAAAACGTGACAGAATGGCACGTATATTACGTTTTACTTACGTGCCACCCAATGTACGTGTCAATACCGTGCACGTTTTATTACGTTATTTTACATATAATTACCCGTGCCAAAACCCGTAAGTTTTGGTTTAGTAAAGTGCAGCAAAACCCGGTCCATTTACGGTCCAAAATGTCCGGGTAAACAGTCCAATTCGGACCACAACACGGTACACAGACGTACAAACCGGACATCGCCCGTTCCACACTCAGCCGTGTCTCTCCGTAGAAACTCGTGCCTACACGGACCACCTTTTTTATAGGGCAACTGGTTACGGTACGATTTCCCGAAAGCTATTTCCCCGACATGTCACCTACCCGATATCACGCAGGTGACAATTTGCTAAAAATATATATCTACAACTAACAAAATGCTAACCCTAACCATATGTGATGTCGGGTAAATAGTTTTTCGGGAAAGTGGGCTTCGGGAAAGTGAGAATCAACAGTGCAACTTACCATCAAGATTTATGCTTACGACACTGGACTAAATTGGTCTGGATATATAAACGCTCTCCCTAGTCCGTAACAGTATTAATAATAGACTTTCAAAACTTTCGTTCTTTTCCGAAATTATACAAATTCAATTGATAAAAATCGGCCAAAAAATGGAAATACTAATAGAATATTTGTCTTTATGTTAGAAATTTCTATCAGTATGAAACTAGAAAAGATATTCCTAGAATTTAAGAAAATTATTTGTGCATGGTGTCCAGTAAATTTGTAACCTTTTTAGGTTTAATACTAAGCTGAAACTGCTAATTAGAAGTGATAATCATATAGAGCCCATTGTTGTTGATCAAACGATCTACATTATGAGACGAGCAAAAAAAGATCTGGAAATAATTGTTCCACCAGACAATATCATTTTCCCGACAGTGCCTTCTTCCCGACAATTATTACCCCTAACCCTAACATAACTCGAGAAATGATAGTAAAATGGTTGTCGGGAAAAAGCGCTGTCGGTGAAATGATACATTCGGGTAAATATTTTGTCGGGAAAATGGTTGTCGAGAAAATTATTTTGTCGGCAAAATAATACTGTCGGGGAAATAAATGTCGGGAAAGTGGCGTCGGTGAAATCAGGTGTCGGAAAATCAGGTGTCGGAAAATGAGTGTCGGCAAAATTAGTGCCACCGCCCCTTTTATATACTAACAATTTTTTAAATAATACTTTTTCTTTTACAAAATTAGTTATGAGTATCATTTTTAATAGTATCTTTTTCTTCTTGACGTATTACCGTCAAGATAAAATGAGTCCTCGAAAATAACATATCGGACTTAATCCCTAAAAAAATCTAGTAGTGCGCGATTATAATTAGATTCATTTTACCTTAGTGGCATTCATTTAAGTTTACAAAAGGTTAATGGAAAAACAATGGATATTTATATATATAACGATAGTACATATAACATTTTTTAAAACTTTTAAAAATTTAAAAGTTATAAAATAAAGCAAATATGAAATTAATAATTTTATTATTATTAATTTTTACATCACAGAAATATCCGACGACTCATGCAGAGCAAAGTGAGCCGTTAGCGAGATCATGGAACGTACAAGATAATCAATTAGCTACGTATGTTGAGAGACAGAAAAGGTTAGAGACGGTGAATAATAACATCAGATACCTACTAAATCCAGATAATTTTGCAGGATCTCGTATAAATGTAGTTACGAATCGAGTAATCGTTTCCACTAAAAATGTAAGTTTGAGAAATGAATTAGTTCAACACCCTCAAGTAGCGCCTTATGCAGATATAATAGACGTTGAAAAAGTTAACTCATCCATGAGAGAATTAGCACACAGGTATAATAAAATAACTGCAGTTACCAGACAGTATAATCCAGCGTTTGTTTGTGTTTACATTGATATAGAACGAAATAATGTCGTTATAACTTTAGATGTTGAACACAATAGAAACAATCATGAATATATAAAGGCAGTCAGAAAATTTCACCCATTTTTTGATCGTTATAAGCGCTATCAAAATTTGCATAATAAACGTTCCAATTCACATATTATAAAACGTCAACCTCAACCTCATTTGATACATCCTATTCTCGTAGCTGGTGATGGTTTATTTAATCCAAATGAAGATTCTACGTTTTCATTAGGCTTTTTAGCAAGAATGAATGCAACAGGTGAACAAGTTTTTGTAACCACAGGACTTGCTTATCGGCATAATCAAAATTATCATCTTTTACCGTGGAATTCACATGATGCGCACAATAATATTGGAAGAATGACAAGTATGGGACGACTTAGAAGAGAAATCGATTTTGGCATCCTCAGTATAAATAATCCCATTGACAATCCAATGCCGTCTGTAAGACATACTGATTCTATTTATAATGCACAGCTCCCTATTGTTTATGTCGAGCGTAGATTAAGTATTGGCTCTCATTTATGTAAATCTGGCTACGGTACACATGTTACCTGCGGTAATGTAATATCGACTAGTGCGCTGTATTTTGGCCCCACTGATCCTTATAATGTATAATGACGTGTACGTTATACAGGCTGTAAATGATGATAGAGATGTTGGAGGGCCAGTATTTTCTTATGATGTGAATATAACTACCGGTGATTTAGGGACTTCTAGAGCAGACTTAAAAGGTATAATTACAGGAACTACAGGGGAACTTGCCTTTGTTACAAAAATAGAAAGAATTCGTGCAGAGGCAAATATAAACATTTTTACTTCTCTAGGTTTACGTTAAATTTTGTATGTTTTCGCATCATTATTGATTGTATTACTAGGAAAAATCAACTGTTAAAGTTAGATTCTTAATTCTTTGTTTTAAAATAATTCCTTTAAAAATTTATAATTTTAAATATTACCTTTAAATTATCTTATAGGAAATTTTTCTTGCAACTTGTCACGAATATATAACAATGTTTATAGTTTTTCGTTTAGAATATTATTTTAAAGATTATGTCCTTTATTTGTGAAATTTGATGAAACATAAATATTTATTTTAAATCAACGTTATATGTAAAAGTTAAATATTCTAGAAACAATGAGATCAGATTACGTAATGTTCATTGATGTTCTAAGCAATTTTCGCAATTTTTTTAAAACTTTGAACGAAGTTTACTTAATAACTACCTGACCAAATTCTATAAACTTTTATTATTTTGATTCTGTGCACATTCATACAATTAAAATAAAAATAACTTTTACCAAATTTTGTCTGATGGTTATCGAGAAAGTTTAAAAAAATCTGTTCTGTCTATCAGTAAATTTAGTGCTTTTGAATTTTTTTTTTAAAAAATTTCTCACTATCTGACTAAATTCGTAAGTTTTTTTTTAATTTTATAAATTCATAGAATTAAAATAAAAAAAAAATCATTGACTTTGGGCAAGTAACTGTCAAAAAACTTCGCTTAAAGAAATAACTTGTTTCGTCTATCAGTAAATTGAGCTAAATGTTTTAAAACTTTGAAGTTTTCTCGATAATTACCTGACTAAATTCGATGTTTTTTTTTGTTTTAATTCTATGAATGTGCAGAATTAACGTAAAAAACAATTCATCGAATTTGGTTAGGTAGTTATCGAAAGAATTTGACCCTTCTATTTAGTAAGCTAATTTTTCTTTAAACTTTGAGAGAAGCATTCTCGATAATTTTCTAATCAGATTACATGATTTTTTTTTATTTTAATTCTATACATTGTTACAATTTTATCGAATTTTGTTAGGTGATTGTCAAGAAAACTTGCATAAGTTTAGAATAAATCTGTCCCGACTATTAGGTGAAAGTTAATTTTTCGCTTTGCATTAACTGCCGACCCAAAATTTTCAAAAACTTGAAATTTTTTAAACAAAAATAATGATATTTATTTTAATCGTTTTAATGAATTTAATTCAAAAAAAAAAATCAATAGTTATTTATTCAAAATATAAAGACATACAAGAATTGCTCGATTCTAATTCAGAAAAATGGTACAATATCGGATTGGTTGAATATAATATAGTAGCGTATGTAAAATTTGTAACTTATTTAACGCATTATTATCTGATGATGCTGAAATTTGAATTTATTTGTTTAAAGTTAAGTTAGGAGTTAAAGTTAGAGTTCACAATAAAAGGGTATAAGATTAAATGTGGATTTCAATAGGGTTCATCATTCATATTAGCTCTATTTTGGTGTAATCGTGTTTATGTGAAAATTGCACTTGGCTATCAATAATACATAATGAGGGGTTTCAGAATTAACGTGCGGAAATCTAATTTTGACAGAAATAGATAACGTATTTATTTTCAAATGAGCGAT